TTCCAACATTACTTCCTCAAACACGTCGCAACCGTTGATAAGAGTGCTCCAATCATACCAAAAAATCCAAACACCATTTTTTCTCAACAACGCCAAAAGTTGATGTATGAGATTTCTACTAGAACAGAATAATTCATTTTTATTTATTTATTATAAATATTTTTAAACTTACATCTTACACCTTATATATTTTATATTATATTATATCGTTGATGTCTTCTTTGATACACTATAACTCACACTTCCTAATAAAAGTCCTCCAAAAATTACTACCTCTATAATCTATTAACTTTTTACTATCATATTCTAGTAAAAATTAAATTCATAAAGTCTTAATTTATTGAGATGTCACAACGCTCCCCTCTGGGGTTTGTTCTACGACCACACTCTTCGGGTTCACTTCCACTTCATATCCGTTGAACTTGACTACAATGAGTGTCATATTATCAAACCCTGGTTTACTATAGGGTTCCTTACTCAGACAGTCGTCCGCTATTTTCTCACAGACTTGTTTCAATGGAAGTCCCGTCTTGAGGTACTCGACAACCTTTTCAACACATTGCTCACTTGTTAATACATCCCAAATACCATCACAAGCAAGTATAAGTAATTGTTCGGTACCATCAAGAGGCTCCTCAGTCACATCCGGATAACATGAAATGATCTGTTTAGCTGGCCCGAGCTCGGGCTGCCTTTTGTACATTAAATCACCGATTGTTCGCGTCAAATTCAAATTTCCATTGACACGCCCCCCATCTATTGTCCCACCGGCTTGTGTTATACGATCGATCTCACTTTGAAGAGTCGGTTTGTGATCGACACTCATCCCCTTCACTTTGTTCCCTTTGAATAACACACACCGACTGTCGCCAGCATTCCCACAATATATCTTGTTATCTATGATCAACGCAACTACAGCGGTGCATCCCATCCCATCGGCCACTAACTCCCCAAACATCCCTTCATAGATGTTTGATCCCCCAGAACCAAGGCCTTTAATAAACTTGATGTCAACTTTTGTGTTCAATATCTGTAAAGTTTAACAAGGAAAACAAACAGTGTTAACATCTTTTGTTCTCATTAAGTCATCAATGACGATGTTGGTATCTATCAACGCCTTTTTATAGTCACCCGCTTTAAACGCAGGAGACTTAAGTAACACATCAACATACACTTTCTCACAGTAATCAGCTACTTGATCACCTCCATGGCCATCAAACACCCCAAAAAATGACGCTTTTTTGCCGCCTTCAACTTGAAAGTCAAGCTGCACGATGTGAGAGTCCTCCATTGTTCTTCGCCACCTTTGTGTCACGTTGTATTTCAAATGGAAAACACTTTAAAAATAAATAACAGTAAAGGATCACAAACCCCTGCATTGATGTGTACCCACACTTCAGTGACTCGCCGTCGACTTGCCCCGACGCTTGGTCTGTAATTGGTGCCGAAAGAATTGACCCCATTTCTTCTTTTCGAGTTGGTCTTTTTTTCCTCTAACCTTCATTTATTAGTTCAAAATGAAGTTATGGGAAACAAGGTCTTTGTTTTCTCTTAGCCATTACTAGTTAGTAATTTAATGAATTAATATAATTTAATAACTCTTTGTGGTAAAGAAAAGAAGTTGAAAGTCAATAAAGGAACCATTGCTAATGAGGCAATATCTCTATTTCTTAATTCAATCAACAGAAAAAGTACTTTTGATTCTCTGGAAGTGTTAAAAAAGACTGATGAAAAAAAAAATGAAGAAAATATTTTTTTTGGTAAAGAAATAATTAAAAATGAAAATTAAACTGCACTTTTTAGTTGTTCATTTGTGTGAATTGGTTTCTTTTTTTTATCTCATTTTTATTATATCAAATAATAAATTTATTAGTTAATTTGTTTATATAAGTAATAAAGTAAACATCATCTGACTTGGTCGTCAAAAGATTGAAAAAACTAACTTATAAAACTATTTAATACAAGGAGGTTTATTATCTTAAAAAATGTTACAAATAGTTGAACGATTTATAGTTTTTATATTTTGCTTTATAATATAAAAACAATTAATAACAAGCACTTAAAACCCGATAATAATTATCGGGTCAACAACATCATTTTAGTCCAAATATTAATTCATAACTTTGTTATTTGTATCAATAAAAATGCTTTTTCGTCGCATTCCTCTTTTTGATTTTTTTCATTTTATTAAAAAAAGAATCAACTTTTATTATTTTTAAATTATAATTATAATAACAGTTTTCACTTTAAATACAAGGTGATAAAATATGTTTTAAATAGTACATAATAATATAGAGACACTCATCATAATGAATAAAAATTATATGTATTTAAAAAGTTGTTTACATGACACATGAATTAAACATTTAACACTTTTTTGTTGTTCTGGTGTTTATTTACACAACTTTATTACTGGTCAATATTAAAAATTGACTATAATTTGATATAAAGTTGTTATTGTCTTGATGTACATGTTACAATCTATCGCCGATACGTGTTGTTAATCCATTTTTAAATATTTTTTTTTATAAAATGCTTGTAACTTACATTACATATACACATCAACTTATTTTAAACATTCATTCTAATTTACATAATGTGTGTTTTTTGTACAAAATCATTTATCATATATTGTTTGGTTCGTTAAACCAAACACAATTTATTTGTATTATAGACTCGGTATCTTAGTCTGCACGCAGAAATAACATTCAACAACTTCTTTATATCTTTGGTGTTGTCTTTCTAAAATTTTTGTGTTTGTTCTACAATTGTTTTTGTTTATTATCGATTTGATATACTGTCTAACATATTTTATTAATTATTTATCAAGACCTCTATTATTTTCAACTGTTAATGTTTTTATGTTTTTATCACACCTTATCGAAATATGATACATATGTTAAACGTATAACACATTAAAGTATATAAAAATTTTCATTATAATACCATTACTTCTAATACCTTTTTATTTCTTATTAGTATTTTAAATCTCATTTAAATAACAAATACTTTTTTCTAATTTTTAACTATTTTATTATTTAACCTCTTTTTTTAATTTCAAAAACGTGTTTGTCTGTCTGTTTATACAATTACTATTTAAAACAATAATTAGTTCATCAAACAAAAGATAATTTATTTAAAATTTTATCTTTTCTTAAGGAACTAAACTTGAATAAAACGATAGTTAGTAAAAATTAACTATCGTTCGTATTGAAAAATCAACACAATTTATTATTAAGATTAGTAAAAACAATTATATTTATAGTATATTGCTTATTAATAAAATACTATTAAGAAGCGCAAGAATAACGTACAACTGAAATAAATAAATAAATAAATAAATATATGCGTTAGACAAACATATATATGTAGATAGATGTAGATCATAAATGAAATTAAATAAAACAATATCTGTTTGTAAAGTACAGTCAAACCTCTCAATTTTGACATTTTTAGAAATTGAAAACCTTTTGATTTTGACATTTCAAGATAACAGAACAACAAGAAAAAACGCAAAAAAGATTTTTAAAAACTTTAAACTTGATAAACAAACACATGAAAAGAATTAAAGATCACAAACCAGTTAAAAGAAAACTCACTTCTTTAACTGTAGATGAAAAAGCTGATATTATTAAAAAGAAACTAGTTTTGACTGATGAACGTGTTGCAGAATGGGCATACAGTACATACAGCTTATCCGAAAAACCTTCTCGGAGTTGGATCACCGGGCTTTCAATTGACAAACCACTTGTTGACAAAAGATTGCTAAGTAAAGTTAAATACCCATCTTTTGAACAAAATCTGATGCTTGCCATAAACATGCTATTGGAAAATAACACACCGATACATGACGATGTTATTATATACTTGGCCAACAGAACAAAGCTTAATATGAGTCAAGACAGTTATTTGATCAATCTTACTTTATCAAACGGGTGGTTAGATTCTTTCAAAAAACGACACTCTCTCAGTATACACAAGCAGTATGGAGAAGTTCCTGTTGTTGACTTATCAATATGTCGTGATTATATCGAAATAATTCGATTTATTGTAAAACACTTCCTTGATACTTATGGCCAAGAATCAATCTTCAATGGAGATGAAACTGGTCTTAACATACACTTTCTCGAACCATCATCGTTGAACATCAAAGAAGGAAAGGAAATTGGAATCGAGTGTGATAAAATACGGTTTACTGTATTTCTTGTTACAGATGTTACTGGTAAAAACCGAAGAAACCCAGTGGTAATTGGCAAGTCAGTAAAACCAAGAGGAATGACAAAGCAGATAGAACAGAAAAACCACATCATTTATTTGGATCAACAAAATGCTTGGATGAGCACTGTAATTTTTCAAAGATACATACTGGATTGGGATGCCGAAATAACCAACTCTCCAAATCCACACGAAATTATGTTCATCATTGACAACTGTTCAACACACAATTTGTTTATAAAAGTCGACACTGAAATCAAAGTTATGAAACTTAACTATATATTCGTGATCTTTCTTCCGCCTAACGTAACTTCGGTTTATCAGCCTCTCGACATGGGTATCATATACACTTTCAAGAAAATTTACCGGAAGCTATTTCTGCTCAACTTGGTCAATGTCGTTGAACACAATGTTAAAAATGTCACTTCTGATTCAAAGAAAGAAATCAAAAAAGCTAAGAAGCTAAGAAGCTTCCTTTTGTAGAGTGTTTGCCTTTTATTGACAGAGCTTGGTTGAGTGTAGAAAACAAAACAGTAACCAAATGTTGGTATAAAACCACACTGTTGGGAGAACCTCGAGAAAGTTACATTGATGAAAACAACGAAAACGACATTGAAATACAAAGTTCGATTGAAAAGCTAAGTAAAAGTGGTGTTGTAATCGAGAAAAGTTCAGATGAAGAATTTGTAGATAGAATGGATGAAAAGATACCACCTTTTATAACAAACAATGAACTTGAAATATTGGAATTTTCGAAAGAGACAACACCATTGGGAAATGTAACTACATTTGAAGATGAATTGTATACAGATGCCGATTCGTTATTGAAAAGAGTTATGGATTCAGAAATGCCAGAAAAAGAGAAAATAACAATTCTTAATTTTATATCAAAAGTGTTTAAAACTGCTTCTGAATACGTTTAAATGGGTTTTACCATAATTTAGTTTTTGCCTTGTTTTATCTTTGCGACTTATTACTGGACCTTTGAATTTTGACAATAGTATTTTTTATTAATAATAAATAATTAAAAATGTCAGAATCAAAAGGTGTTAGAATTGAAAGGTTTGACTGTATTTAAAATGCATAATTTCGAATGTTTTGAATTCCTCACATTTCAATGTTTTCTTTGTTTCGCTCAATTAAAATTGAGCAAAGAAAACACATTTTAAAAGAAGAGAAACATCACGAGTGTTGAACGACTTGGTATATAAAGAAATGAGACTTGATAATATCACAAATGTTCACTGGATTCGGAAATGCAACTGGCGCCAATCAAGACCCATGCTTCAGAGATATGACCCAAACACAAGACCAAATGATGAACATCTGTGCTCAAGGCGCAGCAGCTGAACAGGCGGGAGACAAAGAAGCACAAGACAGAGCAGCGGCGCAGGCAATGGGATGTATGCTTGGTGGGCAATTCAGGATGATGCACGACGCACAGCAAGCACATGAGAACTTTTAACCATTTTCTTACTTCTTTTCTTTGAAATGTTCAAATGGATTTTTTAATACAATTTCATAGAAAATAAACAAAAAACACTGATACCTTTTTTAATTTTTGAGAGCTGTAGCAAAGTCGACACCCCACTGGAAGCACGTCTTGAGTTCGTCGCCGTTTGGTTGGAATCTGATGCAAAGTGGCTTGACTGGCTGTTTGCATTTGAGTTGGTCGATTCTGACTGCAAGATTCTTGACACCTTCACCACTCCATCCGTGTGAACCAAAGCATGAGATGTATCTGTCACAGTGGATGACTGGGTTCAAGTTGCATGCGATGATCATCATTGGTGGAATTGCGTCAGCAACGAGTGTTGGAGTGCCAAGCAGCAATCCCTTTGCGTCGCCAAAGTCCTTCAAGACGGCATCGACTGATGATCTGACAATGTCGTGGATGGAGACCTCGACACCAACAGACTTGACGCCTTCTGCTATCTTTTCTGCCATGTGTTTTGTGTATCCATAAGCACTGCCATAAGCAATCACAACTTTGTTCTTGAGGACTTGGGGTTGTGCCCATTGTCTGTATCTCTCGATGTTCTCTTTGATGTTTGTTCTCAGAACTGGGCCATGGCTGCAGCAGACTGCCTTGAGTTCCTCGACTGGGAATCCCATCTGTGTCTCTATCAAGTTGATTCCTTTCAAGACGTATGGCTTGAATGGACCAAAGATGCAGTCGAAGTAATGCTTGTACGCCTCATCCATATCAGCAATTCTGTCCATCATCTTGTCGTTGAAGACACGGTCATCAGCACAATGCCCACCAAAGACATCGCATGTGACCAACACTTTGAGCTCTTCGATGACAGTCATCATTGTGTCTGGCCAGTGCAAGAATGGCTGGATGATGAACTTAAGGTGGATGTCTCCCAAGTCGAGTGTCTTTATCTTTGGTGCAGAGAGCGTCTTTGTGTCTTCCTTGATGTGTCCAATGTACTTCACATTATTCAAAGCAGCTGGTGTTGCAATGACAGTGGCTTCGGGATACTTTGCAAGAATGTGGACAAGTGACCCCGAGTGATCTGGTTCGGTGTGGTTGAGGACAATATAGTCGATCTTCCCTTCTTTGCCAATGACATGCTCTATTCGCTCAAGGCACTCCGCAGCAAAGTTCTCTTGCAAGTCTCGAAGAGGACGTTACCCTTTGCAGTCTGCAAGAGGAATGAGTTGTATGATGTGCCAAATGGTGTTGTCATGATGATATCAAAGGCTCTGAGGTCATAATCCATAACACCAACCCAGTGCAGCTTTGGAACTACTTCAAGTGGGAGGAATGGCATTTGCGTGATGTGTTTTTCGAGTGCAAATGGGTTGCTTAAATACAAAGCAACTGTGTTGGCGTCGGACGACTTTTTATGATTTTTTCATGCAGTGTTGAGGCATTGCGAAATCCGCCAATTGTTGTGTGTCCAGAGCATCTGGTCAAACAACAACATTTTCAAATCTTACTTGGAAAAACAAACCATACACAATAGTTTGTTTTATTATAAAAGTATTAATACATTTTTTGTTTTCAATTAAAATAAATTTTTTTCATAACAAAACTCGATTTAGTCTTTTTGTGTATCGAATGTAGTCTTTGTTATAATTAAAATAAAAAAAGAGTAGCATCGGCGTTCTTTTTTTATTTTTTTCTATATAAAAAAACTAGCTACAAACATTGCCTTTTAGTCAGGAAAAACAACAAAAATAATTGATCTATTCATGAAATGCCGTATTATTTTATTATAAAAATGGTAAAAAAAAGGGGGTTTTGTGATAAGTTACATCTTATTATTTGAAAAATGATTATTATAAATACTATATAAATTAAAATATTCAATAAAATGGTTTTTTATTTTATATACTTTTATTAAATTTTTCTAAACTGATACAGATACCGGAAAAATAGTCCGGCACAGAAAAACCGACCGGCAAACCAAAATTTATAGTATATTATAGTTTTTGGTTTTTTGTCCTCTTTTTTCAAATTTTGCATTAAAAAAACTAATAAATAGTTTTTAGAAATCATTTTTATAGTTTGCCGGTCGTTTTTTCTGTGCCGGTTGGTTTTTCAGGTATCTGTATATTTTTTTATTAATTAGTTTTAAAAAATAATTTATTTAATAGAATATACAAAAAACAAAAAATATAAAAAAATACCCCGTTATTAAATGACGGGAATGAAACGAAATTAACTAAAGTAATGTTTAAACCAAATAATAATCACAAAACAAGGTTTGATTCCTTAGACGAAAGAATCCAAGAAAGGAACAAGCTTTTGGTATAATAAAGGGACATTAGTTGATAAGAAAGTTTCCAGAATTCTGTTATTCCTACTGAATGTCTCTGAACCCGTCTGGAGTACTCTTCCAAGGAAGAAGTCGTTTATTTCCTTTCCAAAAATATCCATTTCACTTTTGGTGAGTAAGAGGTGATTACCATAAAATATTTTCTTGACTCTTTCTTGTTCCATGCATTTACAAGACTTCTTAGGATAAGTGGATTCAAAAAAGAACCCACAAATTCTGAGAATGTCGAGGAGATAATTGTGAGTGGCATAAAGTGCATTCTTGTTTGAACTTCTTTGGATAGTCTTCTTTGTTTCAGTCCCATCAAACTTGGTGTTTTTGTTTTTGTAGATAAGAGAAAGGAATTCTTCTATTTTAATTTCAACATCTAAGAAATGGAGTCTATACAATTTGGGCAAAGAATTTGTAGCTGAAGATTGTTTGACTGGTTTGAGAATGGTAAATTCTCCAAAGAAATGGAATAACATGAGACAAATGGCTTGCTGGAAACAAGTCTCATCCTTCATTTTTCTCTCTTTAATAGCATTCGCAGAATATCCTTTAACACTTGTTAATACTTTAACTGGGTAAACATTTAATGCAAAACTCTTTCTTACTATAACAGTTGAAAGTGATTGTAACTTTTTCACGTTCTTCTCTTCTTCTTTAAATTTGGCGTTAAAGCTTGTTGAAACAACGGAGTCGGTCTGTTGAATACCTTCATCGAATGGTTTAATGGAAATACTCTCTGTTTGAACCATTGGCTGATCAAGACGAATTGGGGAGACTACTCCAAGTGTACTTGTGGTTATCCTTTTAAATTTGGGATCGTGATTTAATGGTATTTGGACACGTGCGAAGCTGAGATCCATCATTTGAAATAACTGATTTTAATTGACTTTAAGTATCTGTTCTATAATTAAAATAGATCCCATTTCATTTATTCATATTTTATTATATTTTTGCTATCAAATAAATACAATATTTATATTTGTAAAAATGGAAAAAATAAATCCTTGTTATGATAAATAATTTTTTATGTACAAATTTGGGAGATTATATTGTAATATAATTTTAAAAATAGAATAGATGCTATATTACTGTTTTTCAAAAACCTTATTGAGTCTTTTGAAACCTAAGCAACAACAACGAAGATGAAAAAGATAAAAATTGAATAATTAACAAATAATGATATCTTTTTCAATTACAAATACACAACTCTTTAGATAAAAAAAAATGAAGGAGAAATATCTGGTATGTTTCATCACAAAAACTTTATACAAAAAACTTCTATCAATAGTTTTTTTTAATAACTGATCAATAATCAATAAATTTCAAAACACGTTTTATACCTTTTTTATTATATTCCAACAATTCATTTTGATTTCCTTTCGAACAGCAAAGATATTAATTCATCAAACGTTCAAAATGAATTATCATCATCCATAGGTATTTTTTTTAATTCATTTTATTTCAATATTATAATTTATAATTTAACAAATCATCGAAATAGAATTTGTTATTTAATAAAAAATAAAAAACACAAAAATAAATTCCTTATATGATATATAAAAACCCCATAATGTTTTGATAGCGCAATTCAATATAAAGTAAAATATCTTTTTAATATATGTCAATAAGATGATAGATACCGTTAATTGTTATCAATGGCGGCGAGTAATAAACTTATTAGAATTTAGTTGGCTCTGACATTTACCTTCATAGATAAATTGTTCCGTAACCCACTAACATTTTGTTCTTATTATTATGGGGTTGGTTACAAATCTTCTTTCAACTCACCCTTTTGTTCAGTTTCAACTAATATAATATTATATAGTTATTGAAAACTATATTAAATAATAATATCATTATTATTTTAAAAACTAAATATTTGTTTTTGTATTATAAATAGTTGATAATTAAAACTAATTATCTTAATACATTATTTTTTCATGTAACGACAAAAACATTTGTGTTTCGCTAATTTTAACTATAATGAAATTTATTAATAATATACTATAAAATAAAAATAACCAAATATTCAATTTTTTAGTTGAAAATAGTGGATAAACCCCCAAATAAACCATATAGTATAGTTAGTAATATAACAAATTAATGGTAGAAAGTATACTTTCTGTTTTATAAATATAAAGATGGATAAAATCCCGATACTTGAGGGGGTGGTATGAATTACATACTAAAACAAGAAAACTATTAGTTTAATTATTTACTTACTACAAACTGCTATCTCCCAAATAATTGCGATCAAACGACGTGTTATAATTTCTATTTCCATCGCAAGTCTTGTGAGCCTCTCCAAACTCGAAAAAGTAGTGTTGATATGGATAAAGATTTAGAAGTTCCTCTCTCCCCTCCACTCTTTCAATTTGAAAATACAAACGTCCCTCTTCCACATGCTTTCTTAATTTCACATCGTCCCGAATTCATCGACTTTTATTTAGACGAAAACCCTGATAAAGTGAATTATCAAGATATCCATGGGAACACTGCTTTAATGGTAGCAACACGAATGGGACTTGACTCTTTGATTGAATTATTGCTCTCAAGAGGAGCTCAACCGAACATCCAAAATGAAGATGGGATGGTCGCCCTTTTTGTTGCACTTCTCTATAACAAAATGACCAGCGCCACTGTGTTAATTAAAGAAATGAAATTGTCCTGGACTTCCCGATTTTTTGGGACTCGAGATACCTACGGGTATACTATTTTACACTATTTGGCTCTGACGAATGGTCTCGAGGAGTGGGCTATCAAATATAAACTCCAACGCTTTGTAGAGGACAACAGTAACATCATGAATGAGACGCCGCTCATAGTAGCTGCGAAGAATAAGAATTCGAATGCCGTCAAAGGATTACTTCGCCTTGGTGCTGATCCCAATAAAGGAAACAGTGACGGTGTTCTACCATTGATGTTCGCATTACAACGCGCTGATGTTGAGAGTTGTAAGACTCTTTTTGTATCTCTGAAGAACAATGCATACACCGACAAGAATGGCAAACAACTCTTTCACTACGCTATCAAAAGTGGCAACATCAAAATAGTCGCCGAGCTCTTAAAGTGGTATGGATATGACGAGAGGAGTGTGATCTGCTTACAAAACATTTTATATGAGATATCGGAGTCGGGGCGGTTCGATGGGTTCTCCGGTGTCGTCCAGAGGGAGTTGAAAGTCATGCAAATCGAATTTTCAAAGCAAAATTTCTGTGACAAGTTGAATCACCATTTGGTCCACTACGCTATCAAATACAAAATACCGGAAATGGTGCCTTTGATCTGTGTTTGGGACAAAATAGCGTTATCCCGACCTATAGGCAACCGGTGGAGTCCTTTTCTCTATTCGTGTGTATTAGGGGAGGAAAGGGCCTTTGATTATATAGAGCAATTAAGTACCCGAGATCCATTAAATGATGTTGGTGCTGATGGTGAAAATTGTTTACAATTAGCGACGTATTATAAGAACCTTGGGATCGTCAAAAAAGTGTTAACAAAGCGCTTTGAATTGATCTCCAAAAAAGACGGGAAGAATAACACGGTGTTTCATTATGCGGCTGCGGGGGGTGGGAGTGAGATCTTTGACTTCTTATATAAAACAGCGGAGAGTCGAGTCTTCAATTTGGGGAATACGTTAGTTTCTGCTGTTAATACGAATGGGGAGAATGTGTTACACACGGCGGTGAGTAGTGGGAATGGCGCACTAGCTTTTCGTCTTATTATGAACTATAAAATAGATCCTAAAAGTGTGGACTTCCAAGGGAATGGGGTACTCCACCATGCAGTATTAGGAAATCCTCAAGAGAGTTATGTGATGACCTTATTACTCCGATACTTTGATGCACTCCCAAAGAACAAGAAAGGGTATAGTCCTCTCCAACTCTGTTGTTTGTCGGGAAATTACACAAATTTGTCGGACTTTTTGAAATTGGGAAAGACCATCTTTGAGGAAAAAGATGAGAAAGGCCGGACGGTGTTACATTTGGCGTGTTTACTGGATGACCCCTTTGTCGTTGATGAACTAATGAAGAACAACGTCAACACACAACAAGTAGACAAATTGGGGAAAAAGCCGGAGAACTACGCACGAAGTGTATTTATCTATCGGCGTATCAGAAAGGAAAAAGTCCTTCCAATCGGTAAAGTGACAGTCTGCAAATCATTTGGGGTTCATTTCCAAAAGGGAAATGTCGTCGACGTTGTTTTTGAAAACGAGAAACACACGCTAACACTCTGGGAAAACCAGCTCAAACCTATTCAAATGCAATTTTGCAAAAAGTCTCAACTTTCTGTGAGCGAGCGCAACACTCTTGTCGAGGCAGAAAAGCTTTGTAAAAACAGCAAACACCACCTCTTTGTTTAATTCACATTATGTATCAAAGTTTGTATCATCAAGTGTCACAAAAATGTTCACCACCCATTTTTGTATTATCAAGTGTCACAAAAATATCAACAAGTATTTAAAATAACAAAAATTACAACGTGGAGTTCACTCGGGTTTTGGGGCAGATTTGTACCAAGCACTAATCTCCTTTGGTGTTATTCTTTCCTTTCGAATGAACTCAAAAAAAGTCTCTTCAGAATACCTCTCTGCCATTAAAGTGACGGGTGTCACAAGTGCCTTATCAATGTAAATGAACTCGTCCATCTCCAAAATTGCAGCTTTCAGTCAATTCAGTTTGACTCTATGCGAAACAACAAACGTTTTGAAAAGTGTAGAATAGCGCTGAAGACTGTGAATAATATTTCCCAGCCTTCCATTAATATCAAGTCGAGGATCTTTAATTCGACTTCCAACGGAAAACACCGCGAGAACCACAACATGAAATACTCCAACATATAAGTCTTTGATGTCACAAAGTCGTACTCAACGTTCTGTAAGTGTTTAAATATACTTGTGTGATACTTCTTAATCATTTTCATCGCAACATAAGAACACCGCTGAACACCAGGAAACCCCGGCAAACACATCTCCCTCAAGTTGTATTTTGTCCCATTAATGATCATGTTGAATGCCCAGTACACCTCTTCCTCGTTTTGTAACACTAACACTAAATACCCACATAAATCAGAAAACCCTTGGACATATCCAATGTCCTTATCTCCAAGTGCCCATGTCCTTAGCACTCGAAATAAAGTCATCTGTCCGTCCATATATTTCGTCATGAAATGTACATTATTTTGATGCGCTCGAATGACATCTTTATGAATTTGGCCATCATCTTTCCCTCGATCTTCTAACTCAGAAATTCGCTTGTAGTATCCAGGAGCATCGGATATACTTTCCTCGACCTTTAACTGTAACTCCCAAAAGGGCTTTCTTAAGTCATTGGGGACTTTTCTATAGATCTGTCGAAAGAGCTCTTTGGGCACTTTCTTAGTCTTACTCCACTCGTCTAATATGACTCTCATCGTCTTTTCATTGTCTTGTTCTTCGTCAATCTTAGAGTCTTCCCTCGTCATGAACGACTCTCTTGAATAGCCAGTGTCTTCCTTCTGTCTTTCCCTTGGTGTCTTGAACGTGTCCTCCGGAATTTCGTCGTGCGTCTGTGACTTCACCTCGTTATACACTAATCTCACATCCTTCATCGACGTGATGTTCAACAGAAAATTGACAAGCGGCTCAAACTTGGATTGAAGCGCGTAGTGTAATGGTTGATTCCCATGTACATCTTCCGCCTCTGCCAGCATTGCGCTTTTTCTAAAATAGTCAAAATACGGACCATAATTCGTCACATTGCCAAAGTTGGTTGACTTAGCCATGTAATGCAAACAATTTGAATGTTCTGTGTCATCTATGTCTAAGTTACATTATCTTATATTATACTATATTATACTATTCTAGAGTAATATAGTATATTATACTATAAATAACTATAAATATATTATTAACAAACACCTATCGATCTTGGCTCCGGCATTAATGAGGAATTGCATGATCTCTAAGTTCATATAAAAACAGGCCACCATGAGTGGAGTCACTTGTTTAGTATTAGTGATATTGACATCCCCGCCATACCTCACCAATTTTTCAACTAACTTCACATTGTTTTTCCGACAGGCTATATACAAAGCGGAATCGCCTCGAGTGTTCTTTAAGTCGATGCCACTCTTCTTAATTTTGCGAGCTACGTAGACACAGGAATTGGTTCTTCCCGCGATTGCCCCACGTATTAAAGCGGTGTTTCCGTCATTGTCTCTTGTGTTCTGAGTGATTCCCGCCAGTAAAAATTGTTTCACTAAATTTGATTTGCCGAGTTCGACGGCAATATGAAGAGCAGTTGCGCCATCAATTTTTGATTTGAAATTCAGTTTGGAGTCTTGAACGGAAAGATTGGGAGGAAGTTGTTTCTCATCGAAGAGTTCTTGTCTGCCGCAAGTAACGGCAAAGTAAAACGGAGGACTAACTAATTCAGTCACTGTTTTCCCAGAGACTTCCCGTGTCACTTGGTGAAGGGAGACTTTAGAGGAGTTGTCGTCGCTGGAATAGCCTTCATCATACGAATCATTTTCTTCAGAAGACATCTTAATTTTTAAGTTTATAAAGTTCATTCTATTGAGAACCAATTTACTTGGTATTACTTGATGTTTAATGCTCAGGATTTCTTGTGCACTGAAATTATAAATAAATATATTATAAATAATCATCTCTTTTTTGTATTGTTTAATTATATAAATTTGAAAGTTTCGCTATAGAAAGTATTTTTAATGATACCGTTTTTTTGTAGTTAAAAATCTTAAGTATCTCATGTGTTAGATGAAAGGAAATTTAAAGAAGATTGTTGACCTGAGGGGATGAAAAAAAACTGCACAAAAATATTTTTACTTTTTTTTCTCCAATGTAATAAAAAAGAAAAACTAATGATGTCAGTTGTCATCTTTTTCATAAGATTGAAATTGTTGGAAAGGGGGGAGGGAAGATTTCAAGGCTAAAATTTGCACTTTTTCAAACCCAGTTATTTTGTTTTCATCGATCGTAATATCCTGTATTTCAGTTATATACAATACCAAAACGACACACAGCAAACAATCCCAATATCTCCCATAAGTTTTTTCATTTCCATTTTACACGTTTCATTTTCACTGATCTCGCTCATCAATTTTGATTATGAGTTTTCTTTTGTAATTCTCTTTAAACTTCATTCTCATTTTTGATTATACTAAAATTAATTAAAAATATTATAAAATAATTAAATAATTATATTACTAAAATTACTTAAATCTCAACCACAATTATTAAATTAATTTATTACTAAAAATAATCAAAAATGTATTATTTGTTTTGAGGAGCCTGTTGAGTATTTTCCTTGTTTTCGGTTTGATTTGGTTGTTTAGCTTTTTCTGCGTCTTCTTTAGCTTTTTTCTCCGCCTCCTCTTTTTTCTTTTTTTCTTCCTCCTCTTTCTTTTTCTTTTCTTCTTCTTCTTTTTTCTTTCTTTCCTCTTCTTCCTTCTTTTTCCTCTCCGCCTCTTCTTTCTTTCTTTTCTCCTCTGCAATTTTTCGGTCTTTTTCTGCTTTCTTGTCGGCGATGTGTTTCACAATTGCTTCCGCTTCCGCTTTTTTAGCCAAATATGCGCCTTTCGTTTCATCATATCCGTCTTCCTCCAACCAATAGATGTACTTCTCAAGCTTCTCGCAGATCTCTTGTGCTTCCTTAGGTGTAGTGAATTCGACGTAGACTCCGTCCGTCAATTTCTGCTTAGTGTTATAGACAAATGCCTCCAAGTCGTTCTTCGCAAAAGCGGTTTCGATGAAGTGATTGTCTTCCGCTTGCATTTGTGCCTCTTTCTCGATGAATGCGTTCATCATTTTTTTCTCCAACGAACACGTCTTAAGCTCAAATGAGCAGGTATAGACCTTGTCGACCATTTTCTTCACTTTCTTTGTGATCACCTTCTTCACCATTTTGGGTTTCACAGGTTCGGCAGGTGGAGTCTCTTTCTTCACCTCTTCTTCCATCTTCTTAGGAGCTTCTTTAGTGTTATTTTCACCTTCTTTCTCGGCTTCAGCGACAGGTGTGTCTTTTTTGTCTTTTTTATCTTCTTTTGGCTCTTCGGCTTTCTTTGGTTCTTCCTTCTTCACTTCTTCGGGGACTTCTATCGTCTCTTTCTCTTCAACTTCTTCTTCAACTTGTTCATTCAAAGTTGCGTCCAAAACTTCTAATACCCCAGAGGTATTCAAAGCAACTCGAAGTTTCAGTTGGGGCGTTTCAGTCTTAGTCTTAGGGAACTCATTAAATTTGACCTCAACGCCATCTCTTAAAGTTCCTGGGAAAAGCGACTGGACACTGGCATAGTCGATGACCAAATCCAATTTCTTAAAATCGTTGAATTTGACTACACGAGTCACTGGGAAGACTGAAGACTTTGTAATGAAAGGAATCGGGTCGACCGTCTTATTTTCCGTTGTGAATTTCATATTCAAATCATATGGTGGTAAGTCTTCTACTGTATAATCTTTTACTCTGAAATATGGTTGTAACTCCGCACAAGCAATTGCGCACCCTCTAGAAATCGATTCTTCACAATTGATAGTCTTAGAAAGAGGTTTATTAAATTCTTTCGAAATGGCATCTTGTAAAGTTCCAAGTCGAGTTCCACTGCCTGTAATTTCAAAAGCATAGATATCCTCTAATTTAATCATTGATTGTTCTATAGTCTTTTTAATTAAATTGACAACTCTCTTATTCATCTCAGCTACCATCTTCTCGAAATCTTCTCGAGTTACTTTAATGGAGTAATCCCGCTCTTCATATAAGTTATCTAATGACAAAGAAGCTACTGGAGACCCACTTGAAATCACTCGTTTAATCGACTTCTCAGCTCCAACTAAAATCCTTCCCCACATCCTCTTATTCATCTTTGCATCGACTTTCCACTTGGCTTGAATGTCCTTACGAATGAACTCTCCAATCGCTTCATCATAATCTCTCCCTCCAAACTTCCAGTCATAGTCAACTGCAAGTACTTTCATTTTTGCTTTGAATAACCCGATGATGGAACACGTTGTGTTTGAATGGCCACAATCAATGATACACACATTCCTCACATCTTTCTCACTTAAGTCGTTCTTATAAATACCATAAGCAAGTGCAGTAGCAGTGTGTTCGTTCATTAATCTTAAACAATTGATTCCAGCTATTTTGGCGGCATCTAACATGGCTCTTCTCTGATTTTCAGTGAAGTAACCCGGGACTGAAATGACACATTCTGTGAAGACATCATTAGTAAACTCTTCTGTAAACTTTTTGACTTGGACTAAGAGCATAGCAATGATCTGTTCCGTTCGAAATACTACCTCTTCCCCTCGAAGCATCACTTTTAACCCTACCATCCCATCTTCAAGTTTAACGGCTTCATACGGCAATTCACTCAATTCTTCTTGAACATCTTTGTCCTCATAAAGTCGCCCCAACAGTCGTTTAACATCCGTAATGGTATTCCTCACATTTCGAAGATAAAGGCCAAACCCTGCCTCTCCTATCGCTCGTTCTTTGTCACAGAAGGACACAAAAGTCGGCGTTTGTCGAGACGATGATTCGTTGAGAACTATATCAATCCCGTTCTTCCGTACTACAGCAACTGTAATGTTACGGTTCCCAATATCAATTCCAACTGCTATTGGCATTCTATTCTAAATGCTCTCTCAAACCCTTCTTTTTATTCATGTCGGGTATAACGTGGCATCGACGTGGCTTGTTTAACGTGGATATTCCTGGGTGGACGTGGTCTATTTTTGTTCCAATTTGATAGTTCTGTTTATAGTTTCATTTTAATATTTTGTGGTTTACTAGCAATTTATAATTCACAGAATATGGCCAACACTTCGGGTAAAATAGTTACTTGGAAATGATGAAAACAATTATTATTATTTAATAATTATAAATAATATTATAATATATAGTTTTCTTTAAAAAAAAACAATTAAATTGTTATTATAGTTTTTTTATAAAATATAACTTTAGTTAAAAAACTAAATGAGTTTAGTTTACTGTTTAAGACGTGGATGACACGTCATATTTATTGTGAATTAGTGCTCAATATCTTTAATTTATTATATAAAAAAATAATAATTTTTAACTAATTGTTTTTTAATAATAAAACTATATTTTGTAAAGTATAATATAGTTTTATTTATAAATAAAAAAATTAAAAAAACTTAAAAAAGAAAAAAACTTTAAAGATGAATGCAGTAGTTTATTTGGATGAAATCAAAAAATATATAAAAATGTATCCTGATCGAATGCAAATGGTGTATGACATTGTTCTGCTCCAGATTTTAGAAAAGTGTAGTGATGAAGAAATTGAGGCACAATTTAAAAAACTAAAAATTAATGACTTCGACGAACAAAAGTATTTGGAATTCAATAAGTATGTGGCATCCATCCCAAAATAATTGTTTTGTGTTTAAGATTTTATTCATTTTTTTGCTTATTAAATTTGTCGTTCCGGCATTTCGATCTTGTTATCGAATTTAAAATATTTATGAGAAGTTGACGGAACGAAAGCACATTTAAGGCTGGAAAAATAGAACAAAACCCAATTGGAAAATGTCTGCAATGGCGTTTGTCTACTTTATGTTGGCTTTAGCCAATTCACAAACATGTGAAGGACTCGACAACGGTTTTTACTGTATCGATGACACATCTTATCTCTGGTGCTACGGACATACACAAGGACAGATCACAAAGTGCCCATCTGGGTTGGTGTGCAAGTGCGGGAAGACAGCATACAACCCATGTGTATGGAGTTGGACTGATTTGCCAGACTGCTCACTGAAACCTGGCGATTATTTCGATAAGTCGTCTGAGGAACCACTCCCAGAGTCTTCAGAACCACCAGAACCAGAAGAGTCATCAGAAGTGAAACCAGAGCCACCAGCAGAGTCTTCGTCAGAGGAAAAGCCAAAACCCGAAGAGTCTTCTGAACGACCCAAACCAGAGGAGTCTTCTGAAGAGAAACCAAAACCAGAGGAAAGCTCAGAGGAGGAAAGTGGGCCAAAGAAGGTTGTCTCGTATTACACCAATTGGGCACAGTACAGACAAAACTCGATTGATGGGTGGGCGTGTAAGTACACACCAGACAATATCGACCCTACACTTGTTGACGTGATTAACTACGCATTTGTAGTCTTTGACTCATCTTACACTGTGAAGGAATACGAATGGAATGATGACCAAATGATTCCAAAGATTGTTGCGATGAAATCTAAAAACCCAAGTCTGCAAGTTTTGGCTTCAATCGGAGGGTGGAATTTCAACTTCTACGACTCGACAAAGCACTTATTCAGTGAGATGGCAGAAAAGCAGACTTCACGAGCGGCTTTTATAAAGAGTGCAATGAGCTTTGCGCGTAAGTACAATCTCGACGGAATTGACATAGACTGGGAATACCCTGCAAACGAAGACCAAGGTGGAAGACCTGTTGATGTGCAGTCATTTACTTTGCTACTCAAGGAGTTTAGGGAGGCGATTGATGCAGAGAAATTGAGTGGGGGTAGAAGCAGATTGCTGTTGACAATTGCAGCACCGGCTGGTCCAAAGAATATCGAAAATTTGGAAATATCGAAATTCCACAAATACCTCGACTGGATCAATTTGATGACGTACGATCTGCATGGTTCTTGGGACGATGTCACTGGTTCACATACTGCACTTTATGCAGATGACGCTTTGAGCGTTGATGATGCTGTTAAAGCATATTTGTCTCAGGGAGTTCCACCAGCGAAGATGTTTGTTGGAATGGCGCACTATGGAAGAGGGTGGACTTTGAAATCAGCCAACAAACACGATATGGGCTCACCAGCGTCAGGAGCGAGCACATCTGGAAAATGCACAGGCGAGAATGGCTACTTATCAAAGTACGAAATCGACTCACTTATTCCAGCTGCAAATATCCAGTACGATGCCAAATCAATGACTATGTTTGGGTACAGTGGAGATCAGTGGTTCTCATTCGATGATAAAGACACTTTTGAACACAAAGTACAGTACGTGTGTGATCACAAGCTTGGAGGTGCTATGATTTGGAGTTTGGACTTGGACAAGAATTATGTAAATACGAAATTCATCAAGAAAGAGCTTGATCGGTGCTAATTCAGTCTTTCACTTATTGTTTCATCAACCAAAGAATTACATGTTTTTTATTATTAAATAAAAAATAATAATAATTTGTTATTCTTAATTATTAAAAAAATATAAATTTTATAAATTAAATAAAATTATACAAATATGTTCAAAAAATTCGAAACAAAATTAAAATTAAGCTTGTTGTTGTCCAAGACCAGACACAACACCCTTTCTAATGACTTCCTCGTTTTCTTTCAAGTATCTGCAAATAGCAGCTGGGCCTTTGACGACGATGTCCTTTGGTGGGATGACAAGTGGGTTGTTGCTCAAGTCGAGTACTTGGATAATTCCTTCCAACTGTCCCATTTCTGGTGGGAGGACAGGCAACATGTTATGTGCGAGTTCGAGTCTGTTGAGTTGTCTCATTTCTCCGATAGTAGCGGGGAGTCTCTTGAGTTGGTTATTTTTCAAGTCCATATAAGTGACTGAGATCAACTTGTCCATGACCTCAGGAATTCTGTTGATCTTGTTTCCGGCTGCGCACAAGATCTGGATGTTGCTCAACTGTCCGAAAGCGTCTGGGAAATCGACGAGCAAATTATTTGAAATATCCAAATCGACGACGGAGGTCAAGTCGCACAATGTCTGTGGGTAAGTGTGGAGTTTATTTCCGGAGAGTGAGAGTTTTGAGATTGAAGTAAGAGTAGACACTGCAGGAGGGAAAGAAGCTTCAGTCAACGCGTTTCTCGACAATTCGAGCATATTCAATGCAGTCAACTTTTGGATATCTTCTGGGATGACGGTGATATTGCACCCAACAAAATCGAGTCTTTGGAGTGTAGTGATCTCGAATATTTCTTCTGGGATTCCTTGCATCTTCAAATTATCTCTGACGTTCAACTCGCACAACATTTTCAGAGACGTGAGGCCGGGGATGTGAGTGATTGGCAAGTTTCTGACGACAAGTCGTGTTAAGTTTTGTAAGGAGTCGAGTGGAGGCAAATCGAGAATACCGGGATTGTTCTGGCAGTCGAGTTCGACAAGGAATTTGAAGTGGGTCAACACGTCAATATTGCCACTGAGTTTGTTATAACCGATTCTTAAGATTTTGAGGGACAACATATTGGACAACTCTTCAGGTAACATATCCATTTGATTGCTTGACATATCTAACTCATAAAGTCCTCTCAAGTTCCCAATTTCCGCGGGGAGTTTCTGGATGGAGTTTTTGTTCATCAACAGAGTTTGAAGTTTGTCCAACATTCCGATTTCTGGGGGGATAGTCTGAAGAGCATTCTCGGAGATATTCAAATATTCTAATGACAAGAGAGACCCAATTTCCATTGGAATAGCTTCTAACTTATTATTTGAAATGTCTAGCCGTTGAAGGTTCGAGCACTTTTTGATCTCCGCAGAGATCCCATCATAGAAGAGATTGTTCTTAGCAAGATACAACTCTCGAAGATTTGTAGCAACTGAAATGGAGTCGGGGACGGAAGTGATACGGTTCTCTGACAGGGTTAATATCTCTAAATTCACCATTTGGAACACTTCGGGGGGAATCTCCGTGAAGTCATTCACCGAGCAATTCAGATTGGAACACTGGCACTTCTCTATCCCCTTCGGAAAGGTCGACATGTTCTTCCCTGTTATTTCAATCGTGTCCATCGCTAACATCTTCTTGTCTATTTTCGCGCCTTTAGACCCTTTTGCGCCCATTGTTTAATCGCTCATTTTTCAGTTCTCTTTTATGTTGTGAATTTTCAAAGAACAGGTTATTAGTTTCTTTACTATAGATTCTAGTTTCTTGGTGGTGTGACGGTAGAGTTCTGCAGTCCCTTAATTTAGAAAAGAAAGAAGTAATAGGCTTATTTTGTTCTTATCTGTGGGTCTATCCATTGGTAGAATAATTGAAATTGCATGGGTTGAATTCATTTATTACAAACTTCTCAATGAATATCAGAATGATGATTTATTTTACTATAATTTATAGTTGTTTGTCATCAGTAGTTTGTCCAAAGCATTTCTAAAAATATGTTATAAAGTTTTATGTTAATTACTGTCCAAAAAATCATAGCTGGTATTTTTTTAACTATTTTGGTAAAGAATAACACATTAAACAATTTTTAAATAAACTTTTAGTAATTTTTAATATTATAATACTAAATATATAGTTTTTATTTCATTTTTTTCAAAATGTGAAAAAAATGGTAAAAAAAGTGAAGTGTTTGTTCTGTTTTTTTTTACTTTTTGTTATTATTTTTTGAACAATTTTTTTAAATGGCAAAACGAACTTTTTTTCACATATTTTTGTTTATAGGTAATTATTTTATTATAACTTATTTGTTATTTGAAAAGAATTGTTCCGATATAAAAAAACGAAAAAAGAGTTTATAGTTCTCTTTTTGTTTTTAATAAAACTTCAATTTAGTAATTATATTAAAACGACTTTATTCTATAATTATATAATAATTTATAATAGAACGTAAAGTAATTATTAATATTGCGACAATACATTATTATTTTGAATAATAAAATAATACTTTATTTCTATTTTTCATTTGTTTCTTCATGACGGGTCTTTTTTACAACAGTTATTATTAACCAAAGAAATAACAACCAATTTACTTATTAATTAAACTATTTCGACTACCAACCTTAAAATTCCAAATCCGGATTGATCTTCTTTGGGAAGTCCAAACCCTTCAAAATCGTAATTTGCGTTTTCTATAACACTGAATTGTATAGATTGTTCAGACCCATCCAATAATTTCAGTTGTGTACTTATAGTTTCTCCAATTAAACTTTTATCGAGTTGCATATGTGTCTGCAAATTTTCTCCATCTCTAATAAAAGTGTCGTCACTCGAGACAACGGTGAGCACTTTAGTAACAACGCCATTTTCAGTGACTGGGTATTCTCTTCCTTCTTTCTGCCCCTTTTCAATAGTCACAACATAATATTCTTGTCCCGATTTAATTTGGAATTGTCCCCCAGTCATAAAGTAAATCAATGGAACAGAAATAGTTTCTCTTATTGGTTCCAATTGAGTTTGTTGGTCTATTGGTTCTGGTTCTTGGACTTCCTCTTGAACTTCTTTCTGAGGTACCATTTGGTTCTTGTAGTGTACTAACTCCGTTTTCAGTGTTTCGATTTCTTGATTAAGTCGTGCATTTTCATTTTTGAGTGTTTTGATCTCATCCATGTCAATGCACTTTTCTGCCTCAAAACATCGCTCTTTCCAACTTGCAATTTCTTCGTTCAATTTTGCGATTACTTTTTGTGATTCATTTGTGTTGTTTATCTCTTTGTCATTGATTTGTTGTATTTTTTGTGTGACTTGTTGTGTACTTTTTTCAGTCTTCACAACTTCTTCACCTTCCAATAACACTGTTCTCTTCTCAATAAATTCCTCTTCTTTGGGTTTTTTAAGCTCTTCTAATAAATTTTCGACGTCTTCTTCTTCTTTGTCTTTTTTCACATCATATACAGACTTCTTCTTCTCAAGCATCTTGTCAACCCTTTCACATAAGATGCGTCGAATTTCTTTTGTTGTGTCTATGTTTTGTGTTTTGTCATCAATGAGTTCAGCAACCTTCTCTGGACCACTGTTTTCTACATATTTTTGAATAACATCATGTGATTGTTTTGTACTAGCTACAAGTTGTTGATCAGTTTCTGCAGATTTTAAATCGATATTTTGGAATTCCAATTCTATAATAAGTTTCAAATACACCGACTTCTTCGCACTTAATTTGTCCAACAGCGTGTTCTTAATGATATCAGCATTTTCGAAGTCCCCATTATTTTGGTACATTTTCATTTTCATTGTATATTCTTCAATTTTTGCATTCAGTTCACTTATCCGTTCATTTAATTTTGTCACAGACTCTTTGATCTTAGCGACAGCTCTATCTTGTTTTGAAGAAAAGAAAAATGACATTCTTTTGGACTGAAATATCAAGTTTTTTAAATTCGAATATTAAACTTCATTAGCTTCAATGAGTTTAAGTCCTTTGAATGATATTTTACTTTAAAAATAGATAAAACCACAATTATTAATTAAATTAATTGAATTTTCATTAGTCGTGCTTCATTGCTGAAAAGTCGATAAAGTCCGAATCATGATGTTCAGTGGGAGGTGGTGGTGTTTGTTGTTTCTGTTCTTGTGCTGACGATGTTTCTTTCGGTGTGAGATATTGGTACTGTTCCCGACTCCCAAAATCAAAATCATTGTTCTTCTTGTTTTCAACTTTCTTCGTATCCTTTTTAGTGGCTGGTTTCTTTTCTTTCACCAATATACTTTCATCACCAATAGCACTATCGTCTTTGGAACATCTTGTTACCATCATTAATGGTGGCATCGCAAGCTACATGTCAGTAAGACTCCACTTATGACTTAAAAAAGTGGCATCAAGACAATTTCTATACAAATTACAATTCTTACTATTTGTTTACTATTCAAAAAGAAAGAACAAACAGCAAAGACAGCAGCAATTGATGTAGTCACTGCTGGTAAAACAAAGACCCACTTTTCGCATTTCACATTCTCACTCTTAAAAGCAGCTTTAAACACAGAACAATCTTTTGACCCTGCGTGTGTATCGACTGAAGTCATATAAACGGTGGCGATTAGCATAACAACGGTGAGGAGAGCCATAGCCACTCCCGGGTAGAAAAATCTCTTCTTTTGGAAGAAGTAAAAGACGACAGCACAGACTGACATTGCCAAACTTGTGATGTAAAATAGGTACCCAAAAACATCTGTGGTTGTGTGATACCCGCATTGATATGTAAATTTGTCCACTACATGTTACTCCATTTTTGTGTTTCTGTATTTTACATGAAATAGTTGAATTAATTATAAATTAACTATATTATATTAATATAGCAACATACTATATTTTTCTATTTAATTCCATTATTGTAATAGTATATTAAATAGTTTAATAATGATTTAAAAATCATTAATACTAATTGTTTGTCATATTTAAATGCGATTATGATTACTGTACCATTTTTTAATAATACATTTTAATATGAAAATAAAATCTTTTCAAAGGTAGTTGTCGATGAATAAACAAACCAATCAAACGAAAGGCCTTGGCGGATTTGGAGTCGCAAGAAACACCCTCTTTCTTCTCGCCATCAAAAGAAAGTCCGGTGTCTTTGTTGTATGTATAGTGAGGAACAGCAAAGGAAAACGCGACAAAACTACCTAAAATGCAAATGATAAGAAGCACCCCAACGACGACGGTTACCAGCCTCAAAACAATTTTCTTCATCCAAATCTGATTTGGATTTTTGAGAATTTATTTGGGAGTTCTGCAAAATAAAAACGTCATAATATTAATAAATCTAGTTTATTGGGGGCAATTCGTCACGTTTTTCGTCAGGGGTATCTTCAGTAGTAGTCAGTTCAGTGATAAGAGCAAACGATGGCGCCAAAGGGTTAGTTGTTGGAGCACATGGTTGTTCATGTGGACGAAGGTATTGTTGTTGAAAATCTGGCTGGATGAATGAGTCGGAACAACAGTTGATATCCTCTTCATATCGCTTTTTGGCAACAAAGTTTTCAAGCTTCAGCCGAATCATGTTCAGTGTCGCATTGTCTTTGTTGATCGTCGATTGGATGTTAAGTCCTTCTTGTGAGATAAACTCGAGACGATCAGATACGTTTTTTATATCATTTCTAAACTCTACTTCTGTCTTCGTACTTGGAAGAAAAAACGACAACATAACGGATTTGTTTTAGTGCTGCTGTCGACATTATTTGTCGCTTAAATGTCGTTTTATTCCAAAATATCACAATCTTATCATCATTAATTTTTACAAGAATATCGTTTAATTAACTTGTATTTATTATAAAAATATGTTATAATTATTTAATAAATTTTTATGACATATTAGTAATTAGCCATTATGACATACTATTTTTAGTTTTGTTATAATTAATTAAAAATGAACTAAAATAATATTAATGAAAATAATAATAATTGATAATTTTTTTTCTAAATTATATTTAATTATTTATTACTAATATAATAATTAAATATAAATAATTACCAAACTCGATATTATAACTATTAGTTTTTATATAAATAATTATATAAGTTTTAATTTGTAATAAATTTAACTACAAAAAAATACTATTAAGATTTATTTTCATGATTTATTTTTAAATTAAAAATCAACACAGTAATTGTTGTAAAGTTAATTAAGACACAACATTATTATTTTTGTAACAAAAAAAACGAAATACAATTACAATGTTCGAATATTATGATACTGGATAATCCCCGTAGTTGTCGGGAAACTAAGATCACAATAAGGAACTCCAAAAATAATGTGAACTCATAATATTTTAACCCAACATTTCATCATTAAAAATTTGAAAAAACAAAAATCTTCTCAAAAATGAGATTCCTTTGATTTTTTTGGAATGTAATAATAGATAATAATATTTTTATAATATTTTACTATATTTTTGTTAAACAAAATGATAAGTAATGATATATAAAATGATATAAAATACTCAAGCACTTTTGGGAGAGTGGTATATTCCGGTTATAAAACTTCAAGCCGATTATTATTACTAAATTGATTTTTTAATACAAACTCTATTATTATAGCTTGAAAAGTCTCAAATAATAAGGATAAAAAGCTTATATTAAATATAGTTAATCAAACTAACTACAATTGCCAAAGCGTCAAAGTCCCCAACAATCTCCAATCAATAGTTAAAAACAAATACTATAATTAAACTAAATAAAAACGAAACAATGTTATTCTTTTTTCAAACTCACTGGTCATGCAAAAATACATCAACCCTCATCAAAAAGAAATCCATTTTTGATTGGGAAGTTTTAGTTCATCAAATAGTTATTATTCTTATTAGTATAAAGTATAGTAAAATCATCGAAGCCCACAAAAATTGACTATTTGAAGTTTTGCTATATTTAAAGAAAAAAGAACTAAAGTTCATAACTATAACCCAATGACAAGCCTCATCGTTCGCCGCCCTACAGAATTCACCCTAAACGACGCCAAAGTCAGTCCGATCGTCAGTCCCTGTCTTCCCGAAAGTGATGGAAGGCGTTCGTTAGTATTTGACCTCGACGACACGTTGATTCACACATATCCCAACCCGGTCATCCAACGTGTTGGGTTATATCCCGTCGAGTTTGGGACCAAAACGTATTACTTTGAGATCCGCAATGGAGTTGTTGACTTTTTGAAACGGATGAAAAAGGAATACGAGTTGATCTTGTTCACTTCCGCCGATCAAAGATACGCCGATCAAATCCTTCAAGTCCTCGAAAGCGATGAACCTTTGTTCGAGCAAAAATTGTACCAGACCGATTGCGTGACACAGACCGGGTTCGTTAAAGACTTACAGAAGGTCGGAAGAGATAAATTCACTACTATCTGCTTCGACGACTACCCTTACGGTTGGGCGTCTCAAGACAACATTTGCGTCTGCAAGAAGTATAACGGAGGGCAAGACGCGGAAGTCAAGAGATGGGAGAACATTGTTACCCAATGTTCTTCTTTGTTTGACGTCAGAGAGGCACTTCTAGAATACTCAATGTGTCTCTTGCTGTAATGTTATTATTTTAACTTATTGTTGTATTACGTATTCTATTCACATTCCACACATCTCATCTCAATCTCCATGGTTTGACTAAAGAACTATTTGAGAGGTTTTTGATAATATTTTTACTATAAATTATAGCTCTATTATTATTTCTGTCTAACGGTCGATTTTTGGTAAAATGATGTGATTGTTTTTTTGAAAGTTAGTCTTTCCCTTTATTAGTAATTAAATATTATTAATTATAGTAAAAATGAAGATTTGAATCTACTTTTTTGTTTTTGTCGCTTCATTCCACCATTGAGTAAAGAAACTATAAATTATTGGTTAATAAAATTATTTTCTTATAATTCGAAACACCTCAAAATTTAGTTCGAAACTTTTTTCATTGTAATTTTCATAACAAATTCACTTTTCTTTTGAAAGTGACATTTCTTCTCGTTACATTAAATTTTACACAAATTTATAAACATTTGCCAATAGAATTACCTAAAAATTACAAAAAATTACTTTTTGTAAAACTTTTTGCAACAATTTAAAATCTTATTCAACTCACGTGACATGTTCCAACCAAATTCATTAAGATGTTAACGCCTAGTAATTAAGACCCTTACATTTCTCAGCCTTTGTGCACTGAAGCATCATCTCCGTTGATTCTGCTTCAATAGCGCACAAGATTTGTGCCTTATTTGTATCATAAAACCCGACTGTTCTGAATCGATAAAACGAACCCAGAAGGAGATCGTCATAGATTTTGTTTCTTGCCAGAGTTAGTTGTTCCACAGAGATATCTTTGACCTCAAAGTCTTTGATGAAACTTGCTTCTTTCATCCACACTGGTGCTTTTGCTATATTAGCCGCCTCAAGGTTAAAAGTGTAACTTATTATATCATCATACCCTTCTTTCCTATTAGAGTCACTCAGAATAATTCGATAGCCAGGGTTGTTCGAATACACAGGACTTGCTCCACTCCCTACACTCATCACTATCGGGTCTTCACTTGGAAGTAATCGAAATTCATCACGATGGACATGCCCTAAAAGCATCGAGTTGATCATGTCTTTGTGACGTTTGAGGATTTCAAATAACTTGGTTTGTTGTGTTTGGTCGAAGTGGTCTGCGGCGTTATGGGAAGCCACACCGGGGGGTATATGCCCGACTAATATCACATTTTCACTGGAATAATTGAGTAATTGATTTTCCATCCAGTCTAACATCCCGCAGTCACTCGAAGCAGCAGACGTCAATAAATTAGTATTGAAACTAATAAAAGTTTTATTACCAACAGTGACAACGTAAGACCCCATTTTCTTCCAATTATCTATTTGATCGTCTTTAAGTTATTTTTATATTATATTATATATTATTCTATTCTATTCTATTCTATTATATATTATATTATATTATTATATTCTATTTATTAAGTTAAATTATTGATATATAATACATAGAAGTTAGTTAATAACAAACTGGGAATAAATGTTGGGTATGTGGTACTCAGATACTCGAAATATGGATCATCACAAATCGAAATTTTTGGGAGTGGAGTGTCGTTATTTCCCATTGAAAATATGATTGGCGTGTCACCGAAGTATTCACTCAATTTCTGTTGCATTATAGTGTTACATTCTTGGAAGAGGGTGTCATTCAATTCATGAGAACACACATCACCAGAAAGTATAATATGTGTATACGGCCCATTTTCTTTGGCGTGTTCAAATAAAGCGTCTATTAAATCGATAGGAGGGTTACAATTGTACATTCCATATTTGTAATTTTCATTGTCAAGTAATGGAGTTAACGTCGGGGATTGGCACCAACTACTTTTGTAATCGACGTTGAAGGCGTTGTTGTAGTGGACATCACTGAGGTGCAACATTCGAAGTTGTGTTGCATCACACACAAGCAACAAAAGGAAAAACATTTTATTAAATTTGAGTTGAACAAAAACAAAAAAAATGTTTTTGTAATTTGTAAAAACAAAATAATTTTATAGTTAATTTTTATTATTAAGTTACTAATTTTGAATAAAAAGATGACAAGAAAGAATTTTAAATTCTTTTTTGAGATAAAAACTTGAAAAAATAAACATCATTCAATTCAAAATAAAAAGACCGAATTTGAACTGAAAAATAAAAGGATGTCATACCAACTGAGTTCGTTGCAACAAAAGACGATAGACGAATTAAAAAAATTGGTCTATACCATTCTCAACAAGTTCGGACAATTAATATTAATGTATGATAAGTCAAAAACTTTATCTATTCAAATCCAAAGCGCTTTGATATTAACCGTGCTTTGTTCACAAACCTCTTCATGTGATTTTTTCAAGCAAATAAAATTTGAGGAAAAACAAAAACAAATGTTTGAGGGATTTGTCAATTTAACAAAAGACCTCCAAAAAGTGTACGAAGCTGAGCCAAACAAAGAAGTACTCACACTTGTTATGTACAGACTTTCTACTCTAATTGTTGAAAAAATAGTTTTAAATACTTCCTCTGAAGAATGGAAAAAATGTGACTTTTTAACCGAATTAGAAAATGCCAAATCCAATCCAGTCCAATTAAAGTCGGTGTTAGTACAGAAGGATTTTAAAGGAAGTAACTCAGTGAATATGGCACATAAGTACCAATTAAAATTCAATGTTTTAGTTCGCCTTTTAGACAACTTTTATCAATTCCAAGTTAAAGAAAACGCATCAACACAATTCAGACAAATGTTTTTAAACTCATTAAGTCTTTATTATAACCAAGAAAAGAACACAATTTCAATGAAAGATATTAAAGACCAAGTTCCTTACCCGGTTTTTAAAGAATTTGACGACTTTGTCAAGTATTGTGACGATCAACATGTAAGTAAAATTGAAATTTCTGGGATAGTATTCCCAGCAATACCAACATTAGAAAGTGATGTAAGATCATACAAACCAAATTACACAGTTGACGATTTCCTTAATCCACAACCACGACCATTAAAAGAAGAACCTCCAAAGTCGATGGGTGACTTAAATAAAGTAACGGATAGTCTCCAACGTGCTACCTTTGATTGAAAAATGCTCAGAACGAGATCAAGACTTTAGAAAACAATAAAAATAGATTGTTAAGCAACCAAACCTTTGCACAGAATTATGTTGAAAAATTGAAAGACGAATTAAATAGACGTGTTGATGAGGAGAAAGAAGCGACTGTTGTTGCAATACCATTTGAAGACTATTTTATGGGAATAACAAAAACTGTTGTTATCAAAGAAAGTAATGGAGATGTTAAGTGCTACACATTTAAAGTCACACAAACAATGAATGACGGTGAAATGTTTTCAGTTGATAATAAACTGTTTATATTAAAGGTCGTCCATAAACGATTTAGAAGAGAAGGTGACGACGTTGTGTGTTATTTGAATGATAGTGAGATAGATAAGTTATTCAAAAACATAGTAAACACTCCAACCTTTGTAGCAATCAGTTTCCAGTCGGATGAAGTTGAAGGTAAAGAGAAAAGAGTGACTGGCGCGGGGTTCAAAAGACCAAATGGAGGGTTTGGCGATTTTGTAATTCGAAAAATCAAAGACAGAATACCAGAAAATTGGCCATCCGCTTTAAAAAGTCGAATAATAAAAGAAAGAAGTTTAATGAATAATGCGGAGAGTTTACTAAAGGACTTGGCAAGTAAAATTCAGTCAACACAAAATTCAATTGATGGGGCAACAACTGTTCAAAACACAAAACAACAAGAAGTTGACGATTTGGATGAAAAAAAGAAGAAACTTGAAGAAGTTGTTGAAAAGGAAAAAATTGAGATACAAAGAAAAAAAGAGGAGTACGAGCGCAAGATTCGAGAAGAAGGTGGACAAGTCGAAAAAATACTGAAAGAGGCACAGGAGGAGGGGAGACTTGCACTGTACAAATTATCACAAAACAAGATGGTGAGTTATAAAGAAAACAGTACCAACACAAATGGACTTTATCATTTCGAGTTTGAAAACAAAGAATTTTGTGTTAAAGAGTGTAAAGATGATAAAGTGAATGTTCTTGATATCAACACGGTTGGAAGAGGCAAAAATAAAATGAAGCAAATGAACGTCAAATCAATTGGAACGATTAAAAAGGATAAAAATCACGACTTTAGTAATACATATGAAGTGTTAGATACTCTTGCTAAAGAACAAAGTGTGAATGTGTTTGATGTTGATATACCAAAAGACTATAACAAACGCGTGTTTCCAGTTGTTGTATGTCACTTGAGCCAAATTGGAAATGATGTAAACCTCCCATTGGTGTTTCCAGTAGAAGTACCAAGATGTGACAATGTGACTGAATACATCTATGGGAATGGATACAACAAGAAAAGTAAATGTCAAAATGGGATAATAGTGTTACATGTACATCAAGGAGGTGTTGTGGAGTACAACACACTTAAAGTCAAAAGTGAAGAAATTACATTCCAAAATGATGGAAATGATAAAGAAGAAACAGAGAAAGAAGAAGTCAGTGATACAGGTTTAAATGAAAAAATAGAAAAAGTTGAGAAAATCGAACAAGTAGATACTCTTTCAAAAGAACAGTCACATGTCATTACTAACACTGTGAACACAATATTAATAACTGGAAAAGAAAAACCAAATGAAGTTAAAGAAGAACCGGAAATTCAAGACATACTCGAAGAAAAAGATAAAACATGTGATAATGATGAAGAAAAGAAAACGACGCCACCAAAAAATAATAATGAAAGTTTTAAAAAAGTTGAAAAAATAGAGAAGGGTGAAGACAAACAAGAAAAAACTAACGATATATCAGATATCATAAATTGCGAAACAATGAGTTTTGACGACATGATTTGTGACCAATGGGAAGACTTAAAATATTCCAAGAAAAACAAGAAACTTGAGTTTATTCCATGTAAAGAATGTCCTTATAAAAAATCTATTGGGAGTGTTTATATATTTGAAAAAGACAATGCACGGTACCAAGTGTCTTTCAACAAAGATATAGGGAAATTTTCGGTTCAAGAAAAAGATGGTGTTGATAGTTACATTTACAATGTCGAAAAAAATGAAGAAAAGAAAAGTTTTGTAACTGATACGTCATTTAATTTAACAAAAATACTTGAAAAAAACAAGAAGTCACCATCTCAAAAAGTGTTTGGTGTTGTTGCTGGAATATATCAATGGAAAAACTCGAAATACGAAGAAAAGACAATGGACATTATTATTCCACTAAACAAGGATTGCATTGGCAAGAACTTCATTTTTAAAGTCTCTGAGAAATTGGTTTACAAATTTTCTATTAATTAATGAAAAGTCGTTATTTGTTTGTTTTAAATTATAATTTTACAATCAAAATTTATACTTCAGTTATACATTTTTATATTTTTCTTTTGATGTTTTAGTATTTTGTTTATAACATTGTAGAAGATAATATAATAAAATTATTTTTAAAAAATCAATTAAAATTTTTTAATAAATTTATTAAATTAAATACAAAATATATAGTTTTATTTAATTAAAAAAAAGATATCAAAATAAAAATAGTTATTATTAAATTATAATATACAAAACCATTTAATGTTTTGTTTTAGTAAGTTTATTATATTTAAATTTTTATTAATTAAAATATAGTATGATGACCAAACTATTATTATTAGTATAAAATATTGTAATTATTTTTAATATTTAAAAAAAATATCAAATAAATTTATTAAAATTTTTATATGATAAAATTTTTTTATTTTAAAAAATCGAATTTGCTAATAATAAAACTAAAGACTTCGGCATTTCAACAAATTTTAAAAAATAAATTCTATTTTCGAAGAGTTTTTCTGAAAACTTGAACTAAGATGCAACATAAAAATAATATCTAGTATTGATACTATAATATATAATTTTGAAAGACATTGTCTCTTTTTAATTTTATTGAACTTCAACTAAACATCAAAACAATAGATCCATCTTCTGGTCTATTTTTTTGGATAAAAACTATAAATACTTTTTTTTACTAAAACAATAAAAATTTGTTTTTTTTCATGTTTTTGTTCGCTTCATTGTAACTCTATTTTAAAGTTCTGTTAAAATTCATTTTTTATTTTTAAATTCATTCATTTCTTTCATCATTTTTTACATAAATCTCGAGAGATTAAATAAAAGTGAAAAACATTAAATTATCTTTTTCTGAAATAAACTTCATGTGATGAAGCATGAAACAAATAGTTAAATTATAATTTATTTACTAAACAATTGTGTTAAAAATTAGACACAAAAATTCATACACAAATCATAAACTCTAACCATACACAAATAGTTTTTTTATTATAAATAAATAATAAAGAAAAGACCGTTTTTGGTTTATAATTGTTTGATTGGCTTATTGAGATCTATTTTAAATAGAAAAAAGAACCAGAAAAAACCAATTCGGCAAAATAAAACCCTCAAAATAGTAAAACCATTTTCATTAAGAAGATGTGGTCGAATCACCCGATATTTTAGAGAAACATAATGTGTTATAAACAAGCAAAAATAAAAATAGGACATGGGGTATTATGTAACTTTTTCCATTTGGTGAAGGTAGCGTCTTCCCGAAAAGTGACCAATCAAAAAATGAGATCGAGGCAAACAGACTTCGAATTGTTTCTCTTTTCGGGATGCAAAGTAGCGTTTGGCGTTGAAAAAGCTTTTAAATGCGAATTAAATTGAAGTCCACGTCAAGAAGTGGTTTACAGTACCATTTTTTGCCCACAATTTTAGAAAACAAACCGCACAAGAAAGTTAAAAGGAAAACGCTTTCAAAAACTGCTTCTAACCGGGCGTCGCTATGAATTGTGAAGTGAAGCCAAAAAATCAAATGAAGCAACAAAAAATCACATATAAAAAAAAGTTAACAAAGAATTCATTCAATGACTTGTTGCAGTGTCCGCAAGACCACCGTCCAATTCTCAACACCAGAGGACCACGTGATCTCCAATTGTGTTCGTTCCAAGAGAGACATGAAGAACTTTGAAGCAATTCAAGAGAGTTATCTCTTGGGGTTATTGAATGCCTTCTGTTCTTTCACCTTTGAAAAGCCTGCCAAGAAGTCCAAAGTGACCTTCCAATTTGTGAAGACAACTACCCTTCATTTTGGTCAAGACGTAGTGAGAATCAGAGATATCACAGAGGCAAATTGCAAGTGCAGAGCAGAATTGGAAAGGAGTGTTGGAGTCTCGGAAGATAAGGTCAAACGTAGATTCGACAAGAACAAGAACATCTTCCTTACTAATATGCTCTTTGATTTTGCGCTCGAGTATGGATACTTCTTCAATAGTAAATTGGCTCGAAACACAGGCGGAGCAATTCAGATGGACAAAATTAAAGACGTTTTCTATAACGGTGAATTGGTATGTCAGCAGAGTGATATGATGATCAGAGGTATCGCACTCAACAAGTACTTTTCCTCACTTACAGTCAACGAAGACAAGCAAGGTAGAGTTTCACAATATGATTTGATTATCAGTAAAATACTTACAGATCCTCTTTATAAAGTACAAAGAGACTGGAGTGTTGAGATCATCGAGAGAAGAGGTATTAAAGCCAATTTTTGAAAAATACTACTGTTAATTTATTATAGCTTTGTTTCTCATTTATTTTAATTGTTTGAATGACTATAAAAAACTATAACTAACTATAAATAACTATTTTAATTTATAAACTTTAACTAACTATTATTAACTATCATTAACTATAATTATATATTATAAACTATAACTAACTATTACTAACTAATACTTGTGTGTTTAATTTTATTTACTTAATAAAATCCATCAAAAATAAGGTTTGTAAAAAAATTAAAAATCTTGATGAAATAATTTAATTGAAATTGTCATTCATGGTAATTTGCCTAAGATATTGATTACTCCATTTTGGTGTTAAAAACTTTTGCTGTTGCAGGGTTAAACATCTTTAATTCAGCACTACTTATCAACGCAGCAACGCCCGCGATAAATACAAAGACTAAAAGGATATAAAAAATGTACACCGGATTTTCGAGTAAATAGGAAACGGGCCAAAACACTTTTCCAATGATCGACCCCACCCCTTTCAAAAATTGCAAGACATAGTCTGTAAAATGTTTTTCATTGTGTAATAAATTGTGTCCTTCACACACATTTTCAACTTGATTCCACACACACCCAACGGCTTTGTAACACTCATTTTCACTCTTTTTAACACACGCAGAAAGACCACTAGCGACGAGTAAAAGGACAAGTATCATTAATTTTGCAGTTCATTTTTTTAATTATTTTAATAATAAAATTAATTAATAACAAATAGTTCCAAAAACAAGAAAAAGAAATGAAAATTTAAACAAAATAACTATTAATAGATTTATTATAATTTTTAAATAAAAATCAAACTTGATTTTTTTATATGGACGAGACTTCGGAGGTACTCCAAGAAGTATTCAGGTGCTACTACTTAAAGTTTGATTACCGTCTATTGCACCAGATAGGGGAGAGTGTCTCATATGACAATTTATTTCGACGACTCGCGTGGCAAATACATTTAGAGATCTTACCATTACCCGTCAGTCCCTTATGGGTTAACATCATAGAAGCCCAACGCGAACGATATGACCAATTTTTAGAGTACTTGAAACCGACTCAATATGATGATGTGATAGGACAAGACATTAACAGACTCTTCTCTGATATACCTTTCTTCATGGTAGAGTCGACAAGAAACACAGTGAAACGGATGTGTCAAGTGTTTGCTCAGAATCACCCGAACATCGGATATCAACAAGGCGTCCATGAATTAGTCGCGATAGTCTATTTGGCATTCTCAGGGAACACCCCACCCTTTGTCGACTCTCCAGTTCCATTTCCTCAAGAGTATTTGGACACTTTTAAAACACTAACAAAGAAAGGCTACACCGAGCACGATGCGTACATCGCAACAGAAAGAATCATTGTGATGCTGGCGA